GACAAACCAATAGAGAACATAGCAAAATATGTTAAAAATTCAAAGTACAGATGGTCAGTCACATATGTACAAGGAAGTACATTGCAGTATCATGGTAATGGCATAAAAATTGAAAACAACTTAATTTTTAATAGGAGTCTCACTGAATTGTATATGGTGTATCCATACAATAGAGTACTGTGTAGTCATTAAAAGAGAATGAGGTAGGTCCCTACACTGATATGATCACATTTGTACGATACATAAATGGAAAAAAAGAGATGTAGTTCACTATAGACGATGTGACTATAGAAATCAGTGACATAGATACATAGGTGACTGATAAATAATCTAGATAAATAAATAATGTAATATTACAAAATAGGGAAGAATATGGACAAAACTGTGAACATTGTTTTTCTCTGAAAGTAGACAAGATGATATTCACTTTGGAAGTTACATAGTATTCTAATAGCAACTTTTATCTTTTTGATATTTTATGCATTGTTTAAATTAAAAAACCCATCGATAATTTAAAAAGAATCATGCATCCTAGAACCCTATATCTTGTATCTATTAATGTGTGGGGCATTTATACAAGGCACTGGGGAGAGAAAAGTTTAGCAGACAAGGACCACGCCCTTGAGTCTAGCTAGGGCAAGGGGATATTAGGGGACAGAGACACAAACAAATGATTAGAATAACATGTGAGTTCTCGATCTAAGGTGCTTGGAACTCCAGGGGAGGGTGTCTGACCATGCCAAATGTTGGCTCTACTCACAATCATCAAAAACTGGAACCAGTCCAAATGTCCTTCAATGGGTGAATGGACAAACAAAATGTATCCATACCACGGAAGTCTACTGAGCAAAAAAACAAATGAACTGTTGATACACACAGCAACTTGGATGAATCTGAAAGGTGTTATGCTGTGTAAGAAAAGCCAATCCCAAAGGTTGCATAAAGTCTGATTACATGTGTTAGACATCGTCTAAAAGACAAAACTGTAGGGATAGAGAACAAATCAGGAGTTGCTGGGATTGAGGCAGGGGGTAACTACAAAGGGTAACACTGAAGTTTTTGGGGGCAATGGAATTGTTCTATATTCCAATTGTAGTGGTGGTTACATAAATTTATGTCTTTGTTAAAATTCATAAAATTTTGTACCAAAAGGAAAAGTCAATTTTTCTCTATGATAACTTAAAAAAATAAAATAAGAAAGAAGAAGAGGATGAGAGTTAATGCTGTGTTTAGGTTATGATGTTTAAATGAAGGAATGTGTTAGGGGCGCCTGGGTGGCTCAGTCATTAAGCGTCTGCCTTCAGCTCAGGTCATGGTCCCAGGGTCCTGGGATCAAGCCCCACATCAGGCTTCCTGCCGAAGAAAGGAAGGAAGGAAGGGAAGCCTGCTTCTCCCTCTCCCACTCCCCCTGCTTGTGTTCCCTCTCTCACTGTGTCTCGCTCTGTCAAATAAATAAATAAAATCTTTAAAAAAAAAAAAATGAAGGAATGTGTTATATGACGCTATGTTTTGTTACATGGCATGATCTGATGTTATATGACACCACACTGTAATTATGTGATGTCACATTGTACACAGTGTTATATGACACGTTTATCATATGATATCATGCTGTTTTATATAATGTCATGTGTTTCATGATGTACATTGCGTGATGTGACATCACCTCATGTTATATGACATCATATTGTATTATGCTCAATTTACACAGCACATTGCATTCAAAACAGCAATTCACCAAAAATAAATGGTCACATCTACTGACTGAAGCCCTGGGGAGATCTTGTATCAGTTTTGTTCCTGTTCCCATCAGCAGGGTTACCGTAACTCTAAGGAAACTGTACTCCATTTTTTTTTTTTTTGTACTCCATTTAAAACATATGCTAATTGAACTTTTCTCCTAGTCAATCTAACTCTTCCATCGTGATGAGTGCATATATCTGAGTTACGTATTCCAGGATCCCCAGATAAAATCATTTCTTCACAAATCCTAACTGAAAACATAAAATTAAGGGCAAAAAAGAAGCCCCTTGATCACACATGCAACAACCACACAAAAGGAGAGGTAACATCTTAGTAAAAAGTGTCGACTTCTCAGGCTAAAATAACATGTCTTGCAGTAATCAAGATTTTTTAAAGTCCATATAGTTAAAGATATGACTAAATTTTTAAAGTATTGTTATTTATACAGTGATCACTTGCCAAATGCTAAAAAAATTGCATGCAAACTTCCATATATTTTTTAGTCTTTAAAATGCATGCTATGTTCATTTATAGTGTGATCCCAAATAAAATTAGAAACAAAATATCCCGTAAATACCCAAAAGAATTATATAATGGAACCCTTCTGCCCACAAAACACCAGTTTTATTGTATTTGCTTAATTACCAGTGATGACCACCTCTTAAAGTTTTATAATGCTAAAATTATATTATGTCTGCAGTGTAATTCAAAATAATTACATTGCAATAATAATTTCTAGATGTAATACACCAAATAAAATTAAAATTCATGACATTTTTACCAGTCTAGCTTTGGCATTCTTTATTACATCAGGTTTCTATATGGATTGGCTCTCAGTTGTGGATAAAGAACACTTGTCAGCTTAGAACCCAGCCCAGGCTGCCTGGAAAATTGGATTTGAGATTATTTAAGGAAATAAATTATGAGAGGTTCTGAACACATGATATAAAGCTGGACACCCAGTCAAAAGCATGTACATCATGTACTATGTGTAAAGACTCTAGCAATGTGTCTTTCTACATATGACAGAAAAGGGAAATTAATCTACAATAAAGATTTCTGATGGTAGCCTAGATCCAAAGGAGCAATGCCATGGTGTGAATAACTGAAACTTGCTCATATTATCCATCATTTTACAAAGAGGCTTTGCTTTCTATAGAAGTTATATTCTTCAAATGTTGCAGTAAATCAAATTTTTATAAAAAGATATTTAACATATCTTAATAGAGCTTCCTTTTGAAGGAAAACCATAAAGCTTTTTGGTTATAAAGAAAAATATTCCTTGAAAGGCCTTCAAATTTATCTTTCTCAAAGATCTATACATTCATGTGAGGTGCATTTTGGAAGTGGTTTGGGTTTTGTTTTGTTTTAAGTAATAACACCAATAGAGATAACTGCTAAATCAGTAAGAAAAACCTAAGGAATGTGGAAAATACTGATGAAGAGTCGAAGGCTGTTGGGGTTAACAAGGTATGTGGTGAGCCCAATCTGCAAGACAGCACATCTCAGGTGGGGACAGGCCCTGCAACCTTGACACAGGGTTTGAGAAAGTGGAAAGTGAGAGCCATAGCACTAGGAAAGCAAGAGAAGATAAACCTATGGGAGAGGGTTGGAGAAGGGGTTCTGCTCTGTGGGGAAAATGGATGCACCATGGGGGGCAGGGGGGGTTTGTAGACCTCTTGCACTCCTCTGGCCCTTTCAGTCCCTCATTGAATCCTCATGTCAAGTTGCACAAACTGCAAGACTGTGACCTTGCTGATGGTACCTCCTGTCTCTTCTGGGGGTTCTTCTCAAGCAACAATTTACAGATCTGGTTATCAAGTATAATAGAGATGATAATATCTACTCTATATTTCTCCTAATGTTAAACCCTGGAAGGGCTGAGGACCCATGCACTGAGACACTAGGGGCTGGAGATGCATCTCCCTCTCTCTCTTTCCCTCCCTCCCTCTCTCTTTCCCTCTCCCTCTCTCCCAGAAAACAAAAAGAGAGGTAGTGGATAAAGGTTTTCTTCTTTCCATCAAAGGCTGGCCACACTCCACATCAGCCCTCCTCACCAATGTCTAGGAACAAGCTTTGAAATCTTCCCTTGCAGACTGTGATAGCAATTGCAAAGCCTATCAACAAAAGGTAACAAAAAATTAGACTCACCAAGATCAAGATGAACACCAGGGACAAACGAATTGAGAAAGAACATGAAGATAACAAATCCCAACACCATCAGGCATTTGGTGAGCAGAATCTTGTCTGATATCCTGTGCTGTGAGAGAAGAAAACACAACTCATTTACTGGGTACTATCTTCTGCTTCCTGCAATGTGTCCATCATCCTGCATGACTCGAATCACTACAAATTCTCCTTAAGATGAAAAATATAACATCTTGAACTCGAAAGAAGATTATAAGGTAATGCATTATAAAGAAGACTGTACAGACTTGGGATTACAGCATTCAAAAATCTTTATAAAAAATAAACTCAATAAATTTAAAATATAGTACATGGGGTGCCTGGATGGTTCAGTCTGTTAAGGTCTGCCTTCAGCTCAGGGTCCTGGGATCGAGCCCCACGTTGGACCCCCTGCTCAGGGGGGAGTCTGCTTCTCCCTCTCCCTCTCCCCCTTCTCCCCACTCATGCTCTCTCTCTCTCTCAAATAAGTGAATAAAATCTTTAAATATATATATAGCACAATCCTTTTATAGAACGCCTGACTAAATAGCTTCTTAATGTGATGAAGAAAGTGCTCCCAGTCCCACCACAAGCATTAGGTGAGATGTTGGCAAAATCACTGGAGAAACAACACATAACTTCCAGGGCCCTGGCCATGCATTTCCACAGGTGCTACATGCTTTTACCCTTTCTTTTTTTTTTTTTTTTTATGTCCAGTTAGCCACTGTGTAGTACATCATCAGTTTTTGATGTAGTGTTCAATGATTCATTAGTTACATATAACACCCAGTGCTCATTACAACATGTGCCCTCCTTAATACCCATCACCCTATTACTCCCTCCCCCCTTAACCCCCTCCCCTCTGAAACCCTCAGTTCATATCCTGGGGTCCATAGTCTCTCATGGTTCATCTTCCTCTCTGATTTCTCCCCCTTCAGATTTCCCTCCATTCCCCTATCCTTTTAATTCAACTTTCCTCCTATTACACAAATCCCTGCTCATAGTGGCGCTGAGGTTAACATGTCCTTGCAATAACATGACTCCTGCTGAGGTTCTTACTATAACCTTTCATGTTCACAGGGACCCTGGAAGGCACCTGACAGTGCCCTAATCACCAAGATGACACCTGTGGGAGCCTGACAAGTTGTTCAGGGGTGAGGGGAGGTGCCAGAAGGCTCTATAGTACCTTCATTAACCTCAGAGGTGCAGACCTTCTTCCAGTGGGCCTGAGCCACAGGGCAAGATGGGCAAGGTCCCCAGAGGGTGCTGTGCTCTGAGGGCCACGGCTGTGTGGAGCTGGGGAAGGGAGCGAAGTCCCAGAAAACCTGTGCGGATAGGCACTGAGTTGTCTTGCCCCACCCAACCAGGCTCCTGTGTGAATCATGCTCCACCATGTGAACTGACAACTGTGTCATGTCCTTTCTTAAGTGTGGTCCCACCCGCACATCTGTCTATCTGTCTATGTCTATGTCTATCTGGAATTAGATAAAGTATAGATATGGGTATAAATATGGATATATAGAGAGAGACAGATACTTATGGGTATGTACATGGATAGAGATAGAGACAGAGGTAGAGATAGATGGTACAGGTAGAGGTATAGAGATAGAGAGACAGATCTGCATACAGGTATAGATTTTCTCTCTGGATTTCTCTGGCCATGCACTTAGAGCTGTTGTCATAAAAACCACAAGCATATTCCTCCATGTTGCACTGGCTCTGGCTGCAGCCCTTGGCTCCCTGTTCACAGATCATGTGGGCCACCTCCCGAGCATCTGTCCTCCTTCCTCACCTACTGCCAAAGCCTGTGGCTGAGTTGGCCACAAGCCAACTCATCTTCCCCTTCCCACCTCCAAGGAAGGCCAGTTTTGCTGGATGAGTCTGTGATGGTGAATTAAGAGGAAAAGGGCATGGCACCCACCTGTTGTGAGGGGAGACACCACAAACCTTCTGTGCAGCCATGTTAACCATAGAAAGTAGGTATAACCATGGGCATTTCCAGAATTGAAAATGGAGGGAGCAGGCAGGTCAAAGAACATTCCCAGCATCACTTGGCTGGTACATGTGGAGATGATCCAGAGTTTGTGCTTATCTCTTATTTTTCATGTCTATTAAATTTTCTTATTTTAGGTATCTGGAGATATCACAGTTGAGAACTCCTAGATTCAATACAAGCTCCTTGCTTGTCCCTTCCACCTCTCCTCAATCCTCATTCAACCCAGTACACAGAGAGGTACACAATCTCTTCCCTAACTCACAGCCAGCACTACATGGTCTAGCAAAGCAGTCAGGGTCTGCATAAACCTGGGGCCCAGAAAAGTGTCATAGCCACACCCTTCTTTCCTAACCCTAACCATCTCCGTGGGACAGAGACTGGGAAGAGAGACCCAAAGAACACATTACTCACCAGGACCCCCATGTCTAAATTTCCTTTAGAAAGAGATAAAATGTTCTGATCATAATAAGAAAGTGGGTACTCACCCTCCCCCCAGAAAAGAAACTATGGGGATTTGAAAGTTCACGAAGATACAGATGTCTCCAAGCAGGTCTGGAGAAGAGTTCTCTTGGCTAGGAGAGGGCACTAGGTGTGCCCACCAGAAGTGAGAGCCATATAACAGAAAGTACACACACACTCCATCTCTGTCCCTAACACTTCTCCATCTCACACAGCACACCTCACCTGTCTCTACCTCCACCTCCTCATCCACACTATGGGAACCACGACACTTGCCTTTTAGGACCAAGAAGAGCTGCAAGAGCCAGAGGCACCCAGCCAACTTTCTCTGCAGCTACATTAACCATAGAAAGGGCCACCCTATCGCAAAGGAAATATAAAAATTTTAACTTTTCAATTTCTGGACAAAATAATGATTTTGGAAAATGTCAGGAAAATGATTTTCCCCATTAACTCCTAGAAATAATTTATGTCTCTTGTGTACAGCTATAGGAATAAAAAGAGAAATCACTTTCAGTTTTAACTGTGTGAAGCAAGAGGTGAATCAGAAATCCCTGAGAGAAGAAACCACAATACCTTTTTTTGTAGTTCCTGGATATTGGTCTCCCAGTTTTTATCCTCCTGTGAGATTTGTCTAAAGGAGAAAAAGACAGACTCATTATTTTCCTGGTGACATTGAGCAGTGAGATCATCAAGGCAGCATGGACCTCTGGCCTGGATACCACCCACTGATATCTAATGTAGCCACATAACGGCACATACCTGGTCATGTAAGGTGACCGGTGGAGCTGGGTTTATGGATTGGGAAAAATGCTCCATCTATATTTCCAAAGAAAAGTAACATAGTGATAAGGAAACATCTGTGTCCTAAGATGGCTGACCAAAGCAGCAAGGGAGTCCCAGTCCCTGCCCCGGGGCTCTTCGGGGTTCTTCTCTCTGCTCTGCTTCCCATGCGTGCGCCAAGAGTGCCCAGGATGCGGAAGTAGAAGTGCATAAATTACCCCCTCTGTTTGTGCTCGGGGCTCAGAACTTTGGAGACCACTCTCCTCTGAGCCTGCCGGCATTCCGCCAACATTAAATAAACCTCTTATCCTCCAAGATCTCGGGGTGCCACTGGGTTCTTCTGTCGGGCAGTCCAGTCCAGGTTCCATAACAATAGGACATGAATGGAATGTTAATGAGGTGTGTGCAAGCATGTATACGTGTGAGTGTGAGCATAGGGAACGTCAGAAGAACACTGACCAAAACTTGAACAAGGGGAATGACAGTATAAATTTGTTTACCTCTTTTCACTTTCTACTTGTCTATACTTTTTCCACAATAAGGTTATGTTATATTTACAACTAAACTAACTAATGGCTTGCTTTGGTGGTGACTTTTATCAATCAGAACAGTGGAGAATTTAGTTTTAATGAGCACTCATGTCTCCTAAGTATCAGAGGAGGCTGATCACGCAGCCAGAACATACCCTAAAGGAAATCAGAGCAGACCTAGGCAAATCCTGAGGACAATTTTTTTAAAGGCTATGTAAAAACAAGACCTGCAGAGCCAGGACTTGCCTTAGACCACCCTCATTCTAATCTGCTCCTCAGTGACTGTGTGGCCTTGCAAAGCCACTGCCCTCTCCAGGCCTCGGTTTTGCTATCTGTGAGCTGACAGAAACTTGGTGAACATCTGGGTCCATGTGGTTCTTCACATGTGTAACCCTGAGATACACTGAGTATATCTTTAACACCCCACAGTGTCAATGGATTAAATACATTTAGGGAAATTTACTCCTGCATCTTTAATTTACAAAGTTTCTCTTTTAAGATTTATGCCTGCTGTCGAAGCTGGGACCCAGCCTGCAATTCTGGGCCCTCCTGGAGCCGCAGGACCTGCTTCCCCAGCACCACCTCGTGGAGGTGGGTCCTGGGCTGGGATGGAGCTGAGACAGTGCTTCGCCCTGGGCTGCCTGTCTGAATAGAGTGAGTCCCCAGAGGCTCACATGTGGCCTCCCCTCTTCCCCGCACTAATAGAACAGGCTGCGAGACAGCCACGCTGGATTACCCTCAAGGTTCGGTGTTGGTCTTCAGCCTGGGAACACAGGGCTGGTTTCAGCAAACTACAACATGCAAGATCATTACACTACATTCACAAGGACTCACATTTCCCTTGCCTTGACAGATTTCTCATCTCCACCTAGTTCCCAGCTCGTGGCAGTAATGCTTCAATGTCCCTAAGGGGTGGGCATGCTCCTGCTTTTCCCATCAGCACTCCCAAAGTTAAGACAGGTTGGAACTCAGCACCTCCAGAGTTGGGAGGAAATATTCACCACTCCATTGTTACCTTTTACATCTCAGCTTTGATTAGAAGCAAATGACAGGAAATGAATTGAGAAGGACTTAGGTATTCTTTGAGGTCCCTGGAAATCAACTACTGGGAGAGTATTTTGTTAGATTAATTTTTTAGACTGTTTTTGATTCTTGCTATGCAATGTGTTATGTGTGGAAGTGTGACAGAAGTGGTTGAGTGTGGATTCAATCCCTGGTGTAATTCTTTCCTTGCTGTAGAATCCTGGACGAATTGGTCAAATTCTCTGAACCTCAGTTTTTTCTTCCTTAAACTGGGGCTAGTACCAGCACACATTCCAAAGATCGAAGTAGGGGTTAGATAAAATAATGTTCCACAAGAGACTTAACTACAGTGTATGGTGCCCAAAACCTGCTCACTGGCATGAAAATAGAGTTACAATTTTAGAGTACCGAAAATAGAGTTACAATTTTAGAGTACCATGAAGTATTCTGAAGACCCATCATTTTAACTTACTTGAATGGTACACTCTATGACATTTGGACACCATGGGGGTGGTAGTAAATAGGTTGTTGATACAATCCAACCACTGAGCACAACTTGTAAAGATGAAAACCAAGAGTAGCCTGAGCAGGGCCCTGGCTTGGTACCTGTGGAAGGTGTGCAGCCTTCGGGCCAGCAGATGCTCCAGTGCCCGCACCTTCCCCAGGAGCAGGCCCCGAACTGCTGTCTCCTCTCGGCTGGCTGGGCTGATGCGCTGCGCGGTCAGGCGCCAGACGTGGATCTCGTGCTTCAGTTCTGTAGGAAAGGAAAGCTGAGCCCTGAGTCTCCCACAACCTCGGACACCAGCAGGCATTCCACTCCCCTCACCACTTTCCAAGACCAGGAAACACATACCTGGTGATGCACAGATAACCAAGGGCCAAATCAAAGCAGTGGCTTCTTGGCATCATATCATCATGCCCACGTTAAAAAATTACCATGGATGTGAAGTAATGTAATTTGGGTTAGGAATAAATTCTTGAATATACCTATCAGTGCTAGCCCCCAAGAAACTTTTCCCCTCCCAGGAAATTACTTCTTGCAGCCAGAAGTTTAGGTCTATTGGCAAAAATCCAGACATTGCCTAATCATTGAAATAGATCTAGTAAACATTGGAAATACAAGTGTAGTTCTCAGCAGGAGGGCATCTGGTAAGAAGCAGAGGTAGGGAATGTCTCCCCCTGACAAGGACACCAAGCTGAACTTGCGTGTATGAAAGAACACAGGTGAGAAAGATGTAGACAACCTTATGAAATGCTCTAATTAATAGAATGAGGCAAATTTCACCCATCAGTGAATTCAGACATCTTCTGGTATAGAATAGAGAGAAATGAACTGTCAATTCATTGGCTCTTTCAAAATCTTTTATGAAAATTTACATTTAACCTCTATTTTACGGTTAAAGATACTACATAAATTTCTCAAAATATCCACCAAAAATATATAAGGAAGCATGTATTTTCATGAATCACCTCTTATGTGCAATGTACTATACCACATATCACAAGAATTCCAGGTGAAATTAAAAGACAGAACCCTTTCAAGCAGGACTAAAGCACTTGACAACTAGCTCAGAGCAGAGGCAAGGCAGGGCGATTATCCAAATACTGTGAAGCAGCCTGTACTTGTGGGTTTGATGACTAGGAAAATACCATCTTTTAAGACCCCTCAATTCAGTACACAAGTGTTGATCACCTACTAGGTGACAAACCTACTACAAATGCTGAAAAAACAAGTATAAGCTAGGCATAGACACAGACTGCAAATAAAGTGTGTCAAGACCCAGAAAAGAGAATGGGTTGAGGACAGGGGCACTAACACCATTTCAGTTAACACATGGTTTTCTCCAAAGGCTCAGCCTTACAAAGAGGAAAACCCTTTAGAACTAAGATATGTAATGTGCTTTCATTCAGTACATATTGATACTTTGTAGCTTGCCAAAATAAAAAAAAAAAATTAAATACTTAGGTATAATTCAAAAGTCTCTTCAGAGAAACAATTTATAATTTCTTTTCAGAGAGCCTCACACCTCATTAAACAACCTATGAGGTTATGATAGCATTAAAAGGAGGAGCAAGAGGAGGAGGAGAAAACTAAATAAACCAGCCTCCTGAAACACCGAGCACAAAAACGCCACGCAAGGATAGGAAAGGGGAGATGAGGCCATGCTGCCTCAGTGAAGGTCCACAGTGCCAGTGTTTCATCCAATGCTCTGAACCACATTACAGAGAAGACATCATTCAAAGCCCATCCATAAAGTACAGAGACTTTCCAGCTAGTCTTTCAAGGCATGCTGGTGATGGTCACTTTTTCTTTCCTTTTTTTTTTTTTTTTAAGATTTTATTTATTTCACAGAGAGAGAGACAGTGAGAGAGGGAACACAAGCAGGGGGAGTGGGAAAGGGAGAAACAGGCTTCCTGCCGAGAAGGGAGCCCGATGCGGGGCTCGATCCCAGGACCCTGGGATCACGACCCGAGCCGAAGGCAGACGCTTAACAACTGAGCCACCCAGGCGCCCTGATGGTCACTTTTTCAAGTGGTTGATCAACTTTAAAGAGCTAAACAAGAGCATGGTTAGTCTCTGGGGCTAGCCCATTGGGTGCAGGCTGGGAGTCCTCTCTCCATCTGTGCGTGGAGAAGCAGAGCCTGGGAGTCACTGTTGCAACTGTACAGCTGCCCTTTCAGGTACCCCTGGCTCCTTTCTACAGGTGTCCTCTCCAGAGACAGCTTCAGCCCCCTCGTACATACCCAGAGCCTAGATGCCTTCTAACCCATCAAATCAAACAGGTGGAGCTATTCTCCCCAGCTAAACCCGTGCATTAAGGCTCAGGTCGTACACTCCTGTTCTCCTAATTTTGGAATGAAATACATCATCAATTAGCAGGGAATTCAGTTGAGAGAGAGATTTTGCCCAGGGAAAGGAAGTTCACTGCCTGCACCCAGAACTCAGTTTGCCCAACTGAATGTGCTCCTCAGTTTGTTCCCAGACTTCCTCCACACCTCTGCCATTTCCCCACCCTGAATCCTCTGCTAAGCTCTAAGACCATGGTTTCAATGGGTTACTTGATATTGCCCTCTGCATCTTGTGCTGCCAGATTCAAAGATAAACATTCCATCTTCCCCCCCAAAAACTCTCTCCCCTCACTTTCTTCTTCTTTATATGCCATCCTTAATCTTCCAGGTTCATGAGCCTGAATGGTCATTTTGGTCTTCTCAGTGCCACTCTCCACTACTTCTGTGTTAACATTACTAGGCATGTAATAGGTGTCAGATACCATGCTAGATGCTAAAGGAGAAAAATTAGTAAGTTACAGGATGGGCCTCCAACAAGCTAGAAAGAGATATAAGCTATATCATAAGTAAACATGAGCCAGGACAGTACTGAGTCACAAAAGGAGTTCAGGATATAGTGGTATGGTTCTTACAGGGTCTACTTGTTCCTACCCCAGGTCACAAGCTTCTCCAGGCCTCATCTCCTCATACTTGCTGATTCTGATTGCTCCTCAGTAACCCCTAACTGGAGTCATTCCCTACCAACCCACCCATGGTTAGTCATAGATCGATACAATTATATAGGTAGATATACAGAGAAGAAATCTATCTATCTATGTTCCTACTTACCTATCTTCTAGGATGATAAATCTATCTAGGCTGATCTATCTAGAAAGATAGATCAGTGTAGGTAGACAGATAGACAGACAGACAGATAGGTTCCTTCTTTCAAATAACCATTGGTTCCCCATGTCTTGCAGAATAAAGCCAAAGATCTTCAGGGAAGACAATATCCTCAAATGGCAAGCACCACTGTGAGCTCTGATCCTACTGTATCAGCTCTTACCTTTGCCACACTGGCCTCTGACCAGGAGATGTCATCAGATGTCTCATCTCCACTTCTCTGATTACCTCCAGCCCCTACCTCCCTGAGCTTCTCAACCAACCTCCTATAGCATTAGTTGGGGTTACTGTATACACGGTACAAACAGGGAAAGACATTACCATGTGGGATATGCTCTCTCACAGGAGTTGGTGGCTGCCAGAAAGCCTAGAGGAGGGTCATCCAGCTCCAAGTGATGAATCTCAGGGGAAGATTCCCGGGTCAGGAGTTGAAAAATGGAATTCTACTATTATAAGATGCTTACAATTTGTGTTAAGCAGTACAATATCACTTGAAGTTAGTGGTAAAACTATCACTAAACTCATAAGACACAACTATAGCCAAAAATGTAACAGCAAAAAAAAAAAAAAAAGAAGTAAAATGGAATTTTTGAGGGAAAAGGGGATAAAGAAAAGAAGGCACAAATAGAAAACAACATGATGAACACTTAAATTTAACAATATCATTAATCATGTTAAATATAAATAATCTAAACATACCAGTTAAAGGACAGAGATTAACAGATTGGATAAAAAAGCAAGACCCAAATGTTAGCTACTTGCAAGAAATGCACTTTAAATATAAAGACACAGTGATATCCAAAATCTATAAAGATCTTAATCAAACTCAACACCCAAAGAACAAATAATCCAATCAAGAAATAGGCAGAAGATGTGAACAACCATGTTTCTCCAAAGAAGACATACAAGTGGCCAACAGACCCATGAAAAAATACTCCACATCACTTGGCGTCAGGGAAATACAAATCAAAACCACAATGAGATACCACCTCACACCAGTCAGAAGAGCTAAAATTAACAAGTCAGGGAATGACAGATGTTGCAGGGATGCAGAGAAAGGGGAACCCTCCTACACTGTTGGAGGGAATGCAGGCTGGTGCAGCCACTCTGGAAAACCCTATGGAGGTTCTCAAAAAGTTGAAAATAGAGCTACCATACAACCCAGCAATTCCACTACTGGGTATTTACCCCAAAGATACAGATGTAGTGATCCGAAGGGGCACGTGCACCCCATGTTTATAGGAGCAATGTCCACAATAGCCAAACTATGGAAAGAGCCTAGATGTCCATCAACAGATGAATGGATAAAGAAGAAGTGGTATATATACACCATGGAATATTATGCAGCCATCAAAAAATGAAATCTTGGGGCGCCTGAGTGGCT